TGTTGCAAGAAAACTGAGACACCACAAATAATATGTGGAGGTGGGGATTATTGATAGTATTATTGTGGTACTCTTATCAGGATCTAGTTCTTGATTTTTTTCCTGGAAGAACATTATGCTACTCCAAGAATAGGGGTATTGAGTGGAAGTTGAGTGAGAATGGACAGGGAGGGACCAAGAGTTGAACCATGAAGTTTCTCTGAGCTCCTTCCTGGAAATTGTAGGAAAGCCCTTAGTAAGAGAGATTGTGGGGGAGGAAAATAAAGAATTTCAACTCATCCATGTCTCCTCTCTTTTGACTCCCACCTACTATCTCATATTGCCTATAATCCATGTTTGTCCTTCCTTCCTCCAAGATCCTTGATGCTCAAACTCATTTTAACCCCAAGTCTCCACATTGAATCCTCTTTGAACTTATTATAGTCTCTAAAGGACAGAACAGAAAAAAAAGCTGCAGAAGCATAGACTGCCTCTGAGTAGTTCAGTCATTATTAAACTGCCAGCCAGTTAAGGTAAGTTTTCTGATCCTTAGATAGAATATGTCTATAATTTGAAAAAAAAATTGAGGTTTGATTTTCTGCCATAAAATCAAAATAACTACCATTTCTATAACACTTCATAGCTGTAAGCCTTTTATAGTGAAACTACCAATGGTGCAGTTAATAGAGGGCTAGGTCTAGAGTTAAGAAAACTTGAGTTCAAATCCAGCCTCAGACACATACTGGCTGGATGATCCAAGGTAAGTCACTTAACCTGTACTTGTCTCACTTTCGAACCTGTCAAATGGGGAGCATCAACCTCATAGAGTTGTCGAATAGATCAAATGAGATACTATTTGTAAAATCTTTAGCATACTGCTAGGTACATAGTTGGTGTTTAAGAGAAAATTATTACCTTCCCTTCACTTTCTTACATGTCCTTATGTAACATATTACATAAGGGTAATTCACCTGTCCTTCCTTTTTTCCTTTTTTTTTTTTCCTTTTTTCCCTGCTTCTTTCCTTCTACAAATATTTATTAAGCATTGCAAATCGTTATGCCAGGTATGGTAGAGATACAAAGTTTAGATAAGTAAAAGAAAATGGTCTTTAACCTGATAGAGCCAACAACAATTAGGTTAGATATGACTGTCTAGTTGTGATCCTTCTCATAGCTAAAATGTTGTAAATAATTATTTATATAACCCTAAAGAATAAAGAGAACTGAAGTGACTTAAAAGCTCTCCCTTCTCACTCTCACCAGCTCTGCCTTCCTTTTCATGCAGGGGTGGGTAGTCATCTCCATCAAAGAGGAGAAAATCTCATACCAATGGGCTTTGGAACTAAGGTTACATTTATGTTATCATTTGTTTCCTTTGTAATAAACTGTATAATCAGTATTTGTGATGTTTGATTATATGTATTTTATGTGTTTAAACTATAATATATACAAATATGCTTATATGCATATATATATATATACATATTCATGTAATGAATATAAATTGCATAGAAAGTGACGATCATTGGTAGAGTAAGTTTCCTATATCAGCGAAGTCATAAGCCAATCCCATTCCCATTTGAGTGGGAAGCAAAATGAAACAGGTTACAAACAAGAAATTATTTTAATAAACTGTCATTTTAAAAAAGTGTACTGAACTTGGAGTCAATATGTATATATGTATGCATAAATGTATGCATATATACAGACATACATATCTATATACATATGAATATGAACCACCAAGTATAGGAAATTTTTTTCTCTAGTTTATTAAATCAATAACATTTGTATGAAATTTTCAAAGTGTTTTCCTCATAACATACTTTAGAGTTATGTACAAGTATTTTTTCTACATGTATTTTATCTATATCATAAAAGGTAAGAAAATTATTTACTCACTATCAGAAGTATCTAAGAAGCACAATGGATAGAGTATTGGACATGGATTCAGAAAGACCTTATTTGAAATCCAGGCTCAGATACTTCTTGGCTATGTGACCCTGGGGAAATAAGTTAATCTCTGTCTGCCTCAGTTTCCTCAACTATAAAATTAGGATAATAACACCTGCTTCCTAGAACTATGGTGAAAATCCAGTGGCATGACATTTGCAAAGCACTTAGTATAAATACCTGACACATAGTAGGCACTTAATAAATTCTTGTTCCTTTCCTTTCCTCCATATCACAGATTGTTGGCTCCAGTACTCAAACACAGGACTTTTTATCTTTAAATTTGGTTTTCTTTCCACTCCATGCCATTACCTTTCATGTAGGGAGGGAAGTGGGCTAAAGCCTTGTATGGTGTTCATCCAAAAGACTGACAATCTTTCAATGTGGTATAATACTCAAAGAAATACTCGTTGACTGAATGACTAATTAACCACAGATTTTATACGTGCTGATAGTGATGACCCTTATAATATAGTTTATATGATCAGTGAATCACAGGATGACAACTTTTTAAAGGACAAACCAGTGCAATTATTCTCTGAAGAAAAAAAAAATTAAAAAGGCTGCATTAGCACAAAATCATAGAGCACATAGGGAGTAATAGTCTGCTCTTTTTGTACTGGAATAATACCATGTGACAATATCATGTCTAATTCTGTTAACTACAAGGGGATGTTGAATTTAAAGAAGGTAAAACTTGTGGTGTGATACATAACCAGGGAAAGGGAGTAGATTTTGTTTTTTGTCCTGTTCAAGAGAATTGAAGTTAAAGGGTAGAAGTTACAAGGAAGCAGGCTTTGTCTATGGAAGAATTTCCTAATAACCAGTATTATCTCAAAGTAGAATAGATTTTTGAGCAAGTCTCTGGGTTCCCCATCAATGGAGGTACAGAAACAGAGACTGGATTACCACAAGAGAGGAATAAAGTAGACAGAATTCTTGAATTGGGTCAAAGGATGGTGTAGATTGCTTTACCTCAAAAGACTGTTGGCACTCTCTGAGTCTATGACTCCATGGTTCCCTTTATTATAGAAATCATAGGAGCTTGGAACAGTATTTGTGTTTGAATCAGCAATCACAGGAGTTAGAGGAAACCTAAGAAATCATCTCTCTGAATTTCAATTTCCTCATATATTAAATCAGGAAAATGTTGGCACCTCTCTTTCATGGTTGTTGAGAGGATCTAATGAAACCATATTTATAAAATATTATTAAATGCTATAAAATGTTATTGACATTATTATTTTAATTTTCTTTTCCTTTGGATGTAGTATAGGTAGAAGTGATCCTGAGACAATGCAATGTCTTACAATTTTTTAAACCTTTGATGTTTTCTAAACCATTGCTCATGAGAATAAAATAATTGCCTTTTGTAATCAAATACAATTTTGGGGATGTAAGTCAATTTGCTGTATATTCATTTCTCACCCTGTTCCCATATGGCTTTGATTTCTTCTTCTAAGTCCATTTATGATTTGGAAGGTTTTCATTTCATCATAGTTTGACTGTTTTTTGAGTTGGAGTAAGAGTTGGAAGGTATTTTAGAGCGATTGATATGGCAACATCTATTTAAAACATTATTCTTTTTTTATGGTTCAATATTATGTCTAGGTGATTAGGGGCAACAGTTTTGTCTGAAATGATGTCTTCTCCAAGTAAATTTTATTTCTTGAATTCTCAAGAGTATTTTAGGATTTGCATATGTAATGACAGAATAGGTCATCTCTTGATTTACAAAATGCTACAGTATTGTTATGCATAATTCTGGTTAGCTGATTTTTTATTTTTAGGTATTCAGTAAGCATCAAAATTTTGCCACCAGCAATATTATTATTATTTTATACAGCTTCACTTAAAGCATAACATCCTTTTATAATGTCACAAATCAAGTGGTCTACCAACCATGTTCTAATATCTCCAGTGGCAGGAATGTCATAGGGAATTTATTCCATATGGAGTCAGATTTAATTTTTAAGAAACTATATCAAACTTGAACCTGTCCTTGTAACTTCCACTCTTTGACCTTCTGCTCACTCAGGACACATAAAAACTAATCTATTCTCCTTTTCATATGATCATCCTTCACATATTTTTAAACTAAGTGTTTTTTTCCCCTCTAACTATTCTCTTCTCAAGCAGAATGTTCTGCATAATGTGGGTACTTAATATGTCTTCGCTGAATTTGACTAATTGGATTAAATGTCCATTGACACTCCTGATTAAAAAAAAAATCTATTGCCTTTTCTTAAAAAAAAAAAAAGAGATCAGAGTTTGAAATAGATGTGTTTATAATAGTTGCTCATATTTATATTTAATTTTTGGTTTTCAAAGCTCTTTGGATACTTTAGTTCATTTTATTCTGACAAAAATCCTGTAAGATAGGTACTAGTCTCCCCATTTTATAGATGAGAAAGTTATTTCTCAAAGTGATTCACCCAGTGTTATCTTAGTATTAAATGACAAAGGTGAAATGCACCACTTGTTGACTCTTAAGTCCTGTGTTCTGTCCTCTATGGCCACTCCTCTCCATGGTCATGGAATCACTAAGGGTAAAACTTATTCCTATCAACACTACTTTACCCTTGTCCAAATAGAGGAAGCCTTTAACCAGGAGGCTGTTGCAGATTCTTCAACAGAGATTAATTTTGGAGGCAATTCTTTTTTGCACCAGAAAGTGTGCTGACTCTCCAAGTGGAAGAATTGGTTTTGGATTCTGCAGCGAGTCAGTTTACCTCCTTGGACCTCAATGTCCTTATCTGTGAAATGAGAGGTTATGCTAAATGGTCTCTAAAATACCTTCCAACTCTTACTATATGATCCTATGTCATCTGACAATGATCAAAAAGTGGAATAGGTATTTGAGAGAAGAAAAGGTATTCCCTTTGATTTACTTCTTTGCTTGATTTTCATTTCTGTTTTTATTCACCATTTAGTTAATTTCAAATGTGAAGAGAAGGATTAAATGACTTCAAGAAGCTTCTTTCATCCCTGTGAGGTAGTAGACCTTCCATATCTCTTGCCTTGACTTCATTTTGGGAACTTCCTCAGGCAGGAACCTATCCCTCTTGGTGTTTACCATGTCCACTGTAAATGCTACAAATTATGATGATTTGACCTTCCTCCTGATTGGGATTCCAGGACTAGAACATGTCCACATCTGGATCTCTATCCCATTTTCCTCAGTATATATTGTTGCCATTCTGGGCAATTGCACCATTCTCTTCTTTATCAAGACTGAAGCCAGCCTTCATGAGCCCATGTACTATTTCCTCTCCATGCTGTCTGTCTCAGACTTGGGTCTATCTCTCTCTTCCTTACCCACTACAATGGGAATATTACTATTTGATGTACAAGAGATCTGTGCCACTGCCTGCTTCACCCAAGAGTTCTTCATCCACCTGTTCACAGTCACTGAGGCATCAGTGCTTTCTATCATGGCTTTTGACCGCTATGTGGCCATCCACAACCCTCTGAGATACAACACCATATTAACCAGTTCACGTGTGGCCAAGATAGGACTTGTGCTGGTTGCTAAAAACATTGTCTTGATACTTCCACTTCCCTTCCTTTTACGACGGCTAACATACTGTCGGAAGAGTCACCTCTCTCACTCTTACTGTCTCCACCAGGATGTCATGAAGCTGGCTTGCTCCAACAACAGGGTGAACGTCATCTATGGTCTATGTGCTGCTCTTTCCACCATGCTTGACTTGATCTTTATCACTTTCTCCTACATTATGATCCTGAAGACAGTGCTAGGCATTGCAGCCCCCAAAGAACAGCTCAAGGCCCTCAACACCTGCATCTCCCACATCTGTGCTGTTCTCATCTTCTATGTGCCCATGCTGAGTGTGGCAATGCTCCATCTCTTTGCTCAGCATATCTCTCCTCTGATCCACATCCTCATGGCTGATGTTTTCCTACTGGTGCCACCCCTCATGAACCCCATTGTGTATTGTGTGAAGACCAAGCAGATCCGAGAGAAGATCCTGGAGAAGATGGGTCTGAAGAGAAGATGAATAAAGAGAGGGAATAAAAAGAAGGGATAGGGAATCAATGTTGATTTATGTTAAAGTACAAAAAGTCAAAGGAAATGTTCACAAGTTTCTCATCTGTAAAAGCTTATTAGTAACCCTTACTTACTGAAGAAAGCAATAATAGGAGTAAGAGGATGGGTCAAGAAAATTAATGTAGGTTAAACATAAAGACAAGTGATTGAGATGTAAACTCTTTTTCCCAGGAAGGCTTTAGGGCACAGACCCTTCTCAAACGTTTAGATGAGTTTGAGGATTACAGCAAATGACTTCTTTTTCTCTGTGGTTTTTCTCTCCCATATCTTAGGGAGTCTACCTTTCTCCTTTTTATTTCTTTTTGAAAATTATAACATTGTTAATCTTCAGCTCTATAGCATACCTCCTTTTCTCTCTAAGTCACCAAAGATCATGACAAATCATTCTCTCCCAAGTCAACACTTCCCTCTTTATTCAACTCTTTCTGAAACTCAAAGAGTATCTGGAATGCTATCTTCTACATAATTTGTCTACTGGTCAAGACAGCTGTCATTAATTATGTTAAGAACACCTGAAAATCTCATGTTTCCCATAATACCTTTCCAAAATGAATATGAAAGAGATGACTTCACCCCTCTTCACCTCTCCATCACTTTAGGCTGAATGTAAATGTCATTGTCTCTTTCCTGACCATCCTTGTATGAAGTAATTAGTTACTATGAATTCCCATAGCATTTTATCATTTTATGTGTTTTTAAAAGATTTATTTGCTATTCATATATTCATTCATTTACCATTCTATTAATCTATTTATCTAACTTTATCTATCCATCTATCATCTATTGATATACTTATTACCATACACATATAGCTATGCCCAGACAACTCCTACTTTATGAAAGGGTTTTACTTTCATATAAAAGATAAAAATGTGGTACAGTAAATAAATCTTTAATTCTGAAGTCAGAAGACCTGGGTTCAAATTCTACCTCAAATACTTCTTAGCTGTGTGATCCTAGGCAAATCATATAAGCTTTATGGGCCTTGTTTTTTTGTCTATAAAAGGATTGCCTAGACTAAATGACAATTCAAGTACCTTTCACTTATAAATCTATGATCTAATGATTCCAAATGCATTTGTAAGGCAATATTTTTTTTTTGGAAATTGAGATACATTTTCCCATAGAAAGTATGTAATATATGGGGCCTAGGTATTCAGGCCAACCCATAGGAGTATACTTATTTTTTAAAAAAGTATACTTATTGTCATTCTAACCCTTTTGTTTCATCCCAGACCTGTGATTGCATTGTTTTGGGGTCCTCCCTGTAAGGAAACTCCCTCTACTAATGCAGATCAGTAACTGTTCTACAATGTATAGTATTAGAGATTTGTCTGGGACACTTAGTGGTTAAATGACATGACCAGAGCCACACAGACAGTCAATATGTTTAAGAGACCAATCTTGAATCCAGATGCTCCTTATTCCAAACTTTTCCTTCTATCCATTATACCACAGTCTTTCATTGAACTAATATTTTCCTAATGATACTCAAGAATCTCAAAACTGTGAGATGTTTCTATAAGAAAATACCTTCCAAAAATAACTTTTTTTTCATGCCAGGAATATCTCTCTTCATTGAATTGTGATAAAAGACTCAATGAAATATAAGTTATATTGGGATAGATCATATGGCCTTTGGCAAGTACTACATCAGTACTTGGGGGTAAGGACTTGGATGGGGGCTGATGAAGTTTGGGAGGCAGTAACAGGAAATCCAAGGTGCCAAAACTGCTGAAGGGTATTGACCTACTTTTAGTGCAATTCCCTCTATAGAGCCTTCCCTACTTACCCACCCACACACCCCTTTATATTTTTTCATGGGTCCCAGGAAATGATTGGCTCTGCCACAGTAATCCTAAACATTCAGTGCCCCACCTTGGACTATAGTAGACTCTCAAGGGATCTCAAGAAATCCAGGGATCAACTAAAAGAGAGAAAAGGGAAAATAAAATGGGATAGAAAGAAGGGAAAAAAATCCCAAATTCAGACAATAGTAATAGAAATAGGCTCCCAAGGCTATACCTGGCCTCTGGGTAATTGTTCCTATGTCAAGTAGATGTTTACTTCGGAAGAACCTATTAAGGATTCTTCTATATCAACTTGAACTATTTTTTTGTATCTATATATACTTTTTTCCTAGACTATAAAACTCTGAGGGAAAGTCTTTATCTAGCAAAAACTTGCATAAAGCAGGTTCTCAACTAATTTCTTGAGAATGCTTTACCTATTCTATGCTCTTCCCTATCTCACCAATGAAATAATCAGCTTTCATACTACTTAAAATTCACTTTTTTGAAGTAGGAAGGTAAAAGACAGTGTAGTTTAAATATTATAGTGGAAAGAGATGAAAAATTTAGAGACAGAAGACCTAGGTTTAAATTTTGACTATGCAACTCAGTATTTGTATGATCTTTTAACTTCTCTAGCCCTTAATTTCCTTATTTGTCAAATGAAGGTTTTACTATCTAGGATCTCTTTTAGCTGTATAAAATCTTACAATTTTAAAGGATCCTATTATTTAAATCTAAAAGTCACTTCAGTCCAACTCCCATATTTGCCAATTGAGGAAACTGAGTCCTAGAGAAGATACATGCTTTTCTCAGAGTCACAGGAGTAATGTAACATGGCTGGGATCCAGTTGTTCTAACTGCAAAACCAGCACTCTTTCCTCTATTTAACACTTAGAATAATGCATAAAACAGTACTTGCTTAATAAATGTTTATTGATTGATCATCTCTCATATCAGTGCTCCATTCATAGCAGGTATTTAATAAGTATTTGTCAAACAGAATTTTTTGATGCTGTTATTTTTCCATGTATATGCCAACACATATGTCTTCATTGCTATGACTATTTTAGCCTGCAAACCCCTTTAAGGTCCACCAGTGGATTTGAGTAAACTTTAAATCTTTCTTTCAGCCTTTTTTTCATCATGAAACTTTTCCCCATATCCTTTTATATGAAAGTGATCTTTCTTTTCTCCACATTTCTTAAAATGGGTAGTATTTTCTGAATTCTCCTTTCTTTCCAAAACATTCTATACTGTATTATGTTTAACTGTCTAAGGTAGATATTCAGAATCACTACCACCACCAATATAGAAAATAATCTTTTTGAAATCAAGGACTGTGTCATTTAAAAATATATTGGAAGCCTAAGTATCTTTCACTATCAAAATCCATTGTCACTGTTAGGTAAGCATTAATGGTATCAGCTATACAATTTATTAACAGCTCAACAAATATACAAAAACAGATTTAAATATTTAGACGATAAAAAGCTGAAAAAATGCACAAACAGCATTATGTCTAACCACAAACTACAACTGTGCACAAAGGGCCCCTTCAGTAAGAGGGCCTATGGAGCCTATGGAGTAAAACTTGAAATAAAACATAATGTTACTGGGATAGTTAACCCCTGGACTTAGGTTCAACATCCTAACCCTCGTCCCTTAATTAATTTTGAAGGTTGGGGGAGGCATGGAGACTTTTCTTTTTTTGAAAAGTGATTAAATATTTTTAGGAGGAATAATTCTGTGAACTTTTCATGTCTGTCTCTCTACCCTTCCTATGTATAGCCCCAATAGCGACAGATGGGGTAATGAAGTGGATTCTGAGGAAGCAAGCCTTCACTGACAGTCTGAAACCTCAGCCTTGATAAGTAGCATCTCTCATTATTGGGCCTTTTGCCACTTCTCCACTTAAAGGCAATTATTATATTTGGGCCTGTTAGAGGTTCCTCTAGATAGGTCTAATTATATTGGCTCTCGTTTAAGGGGCCACATTAGTCAAGCCATATAATATACCCTTGTATTCTCTAACCCTTGTCTAACAGGCAAGCCTCATAGATTGTTTTCGAAGAAATACTTTTTTTTTAAATGGAAGAATTATTGAGGAAAGTACTATTTTTAGAGCCTCAGATGTGGGAAAGTATGAAGCATGTTCTTAGGACTGGAAGGAGGAAGGGTGGGAAAGAATAACCTGTCTGGAAGGGTTGGTTCACATTATGAAGTAGAAGTCACAAGATTGATTAGAGGCAATTGTGGAAGTCAAGTACAGGCCATTGGGAGTTGGGGAAATGGAACATAAAAATGATATTTTAGAGGCAGCTAGGTGGCACAGTGGATAGAGCACCAGCCCTGAAGTCAGGAGGACCTGAGTTCTAATCCAGCCTCAGACACATAACACTCACTAGCTTGTGTGATTCTGGGTAAGTCACTTAACCCCAATTGCCTCACTCCCCCAAAAATGGTGTTTTGGAATGATGAATTGATCAAAAATAAATATGCTATGGCAAGACATTGTTATTCTCCGTGATTCCTACTATCCTCATCCAGGTGCAGCTTCTGAAAAACAATGACCTAGATGGGAACATTTAGGAAGCAATTCACAGATTCCTTATGATCCATGTTTTCGGACTAGGTATCAGACACCTCACTAATTTCATCTTTTCCTCTATCTTTGGCCAAGGAACAACACCTGTCCAGGCCATTTTCTAGTTAACTGAGAACATGGATTTTAGTATAATCAAAAGTGTTTTAATAATTTTTCACAAAATCTTTGAAGGAAGAAATGATGAGAGTCTTCTCATTTTTTGTCTATGGTTTATCCCATTTTCCTATGCTATGCTAGAGCCAGCTTTAACTGGTCTGCAAAAAACAAATGTAAAATTTTCAGTGTGAGTATTTATACCTCAGAGACTTGAGCAATTCTATAAAGTCTTGACCTTATTTTGTTGATGGTTGAGATTTTAAAAAGTGATGGGCAATATATTAATAATGCAGATTAAATTTATGTGTATGTCATGGGTTCATTTTCTTTTTCCTATCTTTCATTTTTTTTTTTTGAGAACCAGTTATTGAACATTTATCAGCACACCCCGACAAAAGACCCAGTCCAAACCCTGACTCTCCCACTTATAAACTGCGTAACCTTATGGAAATCAAT